TGCTGCTCCACGTGGCTTCCTTAGGTCTCCTTCTCCATCTGTCTTCTTCTCTCTTCTCTCTCCTTTTTCTCTGCTCAGTTCCACCCTCCTTCTGGGTGGGGCAGGGAACCTGGAACTTCCCTTCTCCTAGGGACCGCCCAACGTGGGGCAGGGAACCTGGAACTTCCCTTCTCCTAGGGACCACCCAGTTACACTAGTATGCTTCCTCTTCTCCCTGCTCCTGGACTCCTTCCCCAACTCCACTCCCTACAGCAGTTAACTCCACTCACACATTTGGCCAAACATATTTTCAGGAAACCCTCCTCTACATTGTCTTCATTAAGTGTCTTGTATCGCTGAGTACTTTTGCTTTAAGCTTTTATCTGGTTTATAATTAGCAGCATTGCTTGGGAAGAACAAATTAGTCTTCAACATATAACAAAGAGTTAGTTATTGGATTTAATTGGCCAGGCTAAAAAGCAAAACAATCAACAAGAACAGAAAGCCAAAACCCCAATTAGAATCGGCTAACAGCTTTGGGCGTGGGTTTCAGCTTTTAAGGACTAGTTTCACGTTGATGACCACCGGAGGTAATTTTAAATTTCCTTTGCCAATCCTTCTCACGTAACTGGGCAGGCTCACCTAGCTTAGTTGGCAGACACAGGACAGAAGGTGGCCCTCTGAAGCCCAGATCCTCCCTGTGGGTCTCCGGGAGCAGGCCAAGAGTTGCTCCCCCAAATGGGAGCGTCGGTCTTTACAGTACTAGGCTTTATTGGGCACGCGAGGGCGAAATGCAGTGGGTTGTCTCCAGCGAGAGGGAGAGTGCTGGGATTTACTGACTGCGGCAAGGATCTCCCGCCAGGAGGGGTCTGCTGGAGTATTTACAGGCTAGTTTAAGCTAACATCTGGCGCCTCCCTCCGCCCCCGGGCACCCTCGCAGTGCGCGGTATTATGAAGGGCCTGACTCTGCTTTCTTCAAGCTCCACCCTCCCTAGGGTGGGTCAGGGATTCTGGTACCTCCTCTTTTCCTGGGGGCCACCCTGTTAAGTTTTACTTTCATTTCCCTCCAGTACTTCCTCTGGCGGTCTGTTCTAGTAAGTGAATGCTGACCACGTCAGTGTCTCGCCTGTCTTCACTCTTTCCCAAGGAATCATATTTCCCTGGTGTTGAACAAAGAGTTTAGAAACTTAAGAGGAAAAACTGATTTGGGTGAGTGACTCTTCCATAGGAAGGTCTTTGTGGCTGGGAGAAGAGGGAGAGCAAGAGGCCCTGCTCGCAGGCTTCCTGCTGTTTTAACTGAAGGGCAAACTTGGGAAGGGGTGGTGGGAAAAGAAGGCAGGTTTGAAGGAGGAAAGTCTTTGTTTATTTCAGAGGGACAGACATTTCTTCAGGTTGAACCTACCCACAACTCCTTCCTATTTAATAATTTTGAATTGCACCTTTTGAGGACGGAGAGAATCCTGGACTTTTTAGAAGTAAAAAAAACCCTTTTCCATCAAATACAGGGACATAGGCAGAGAGGTCTTTGGCGCCTAACAGGTTAATGTTATAATGTACCAATGTCTTACTTCATAATTCTATACATTCTCCTTCACTAGGTCTGTCTGCTCTGTGGAATCCCTGTGTGTGACATCTGGCAAGTTCTGCACCTCAGATCTAGTCACTGGTCCACGAGTGAGTTAATTACTGTAGTTCCTTAGAGATTACTATGTTCATCCTGATGTCATTTTAATGAGATGTGGGGTTCAGAGGGTGTGGTCTTTGGGTTATGTCTGAGAAAAGTGTTTTGTCCCAACTTCTGTGACCAGCCGCAAGAAAGGAAGGCAAGAGGCAGAAAGGCTGAGCAAGCAGAGTTTATTGCTCCTGAACAGCAGCTGAGATGGAGCCCCCAGGGTAGGGTCCGCAGCTACTGCCAACTCAATAAGGGGGAAGGGTCCCTTATATAGATTCTAAACTCAGATCCAAAGGGGGTGACTCATCGCTGTGTCCTTGATGTGAGACCCAGTTTGCTGTCACCTTCAGCTAGTCTCATCCTGGACGCAAGGTCAGTTTACTACCGCCTTATCAAGCTTGGATGCAAGGCTCAAATCTTTACCGCCCTAATTCAGTACTTGTCAATAAATCTTTGGTCACTCCCAACAAAAAGTTTCTCCAGAGCTCCCCTTTCAGCAGCACCAGTGTAGTTTCCCAGGTGAGTTTCTCCACAAGATGGAGACATTAGTTATATCCAGAAGGGTAGTTTTATTACCAAAGGGAAAGAATAAAGGACACTTACCCATACACAAGTGGACAGAAAGTGTTAGGGGGAAGAATGGCCAGTCCTTGGCATGCTTTTGGGATTCCAGGTCAAAGGAACTGATTGGACACATTAACTAACTTACTCCCTCTTTTTCTCCCCAAGTTATATTTCATTTCCCCTTCTTTTTTAAATGAACCCTTTATTAATTTTATTGCATGTGTGCCTGCAGTTGAGTCTTATTATTATACCCCCGTTAAGTGCACAGGTAAGGACCCAGAGTCAGGCAACCCATTTCACATCAGGGTTGCCCTGGAACAAAAGGGCTGCACCCCAAAAGGGACAGGTTTGCTAAGAGGGAGGCCTGCAGAGTCCCAAGCAGAAGCCATCAGAGAAGAGCATCCTATGGTGGCCAAACGATCAGCCAGGAACCACCAGGCCAAGAGAGCCCCAGAGTCCACATATCTGGTTTTTTCTTAACCTGTCTGCTCAGCTCCACTCTCACGTCCCAGCATGCTTCTCCTTGGTATTGATGGGATTAGTAGTTCCAATATCTGGAATGGGGGCGGAGTCCATGAAGCCTATACCTGTTACATTATCATAGGCAGGCAGGAGGGCTACAGCCTCTTGCCATGCAAAGCCTGCACTATTTAGTCTTCTCTTTGGGAGGGGTTCATTTTCCTGTGAGATTGTTAACTCTTGTTAAATTATTTCTAGGGTTAGCACCTAAGAGTTTTATTCTGTATTTGGTTTGACTAGGTAGATTTGAAAGGACCAGTGATTGTTTACCATGGCCCTCAATCTCCATAGCCCCTCCTCCAATACTTTTCGATGGCTTAATGACTACGTTAACCAGTTCTGGTCTGGCCATGCCTCCTTTCCAAATTTTTTGATGGTGTTAATTATATAAGATATGTCAAAAAGTAGTATAACGAGACCCTGAGTCCCTGAGGTAAGGGAGTTAGGTTAGAGGGAGCCCCTGTAATTCTTCCTGTGGAAGCTGTAGCTATTAGGGGACAGAGTACCCGATGATACTGAACCTGGATTCAGTTTCCCTCAGCCAATAAAAGGAAACAGTTTAAGAAAGACTGGCCGAAAGAAAGAAAGAAAGGCAGAAGGCAGAAAGGCTGAGCAAGCAGAGTTCATTGCTCCAGGACAGCAGCTGAGATTGAGCCCTTAGGATGGGGTCTGCAGCTACTGCCAACCCAATAAGGGGGAAGGGTCTTTTATATAGATTCTAGGTTCACATTCCAAAGGAACTGGGTGTCAGGCCCAGTTCCTCCCACCTGTATCTCCCAGATGTTAGTTTAGGCCCAGTTAATTATCAGTTCGTATAACCTTCAGCTAGTCCCATCTTGGATGCAAGGTCAGTTTATTACCAGCTTATCAAGCTTGGATGCAAGGCTCCATTCTTTTCCTTATCAGTAAATCTTTGGTCACTCCCAACAAGTTTAATTTGTGGACAAACAAAGGAGGCCATCAGACTTGTGTCTGAAAGAACACTGTCCTGCTCTTGGGCAGGCAGCAGGGGTATTTAAAGAAGGGAGTAATATAAAAGGAGAGAAGGCCCATGGGGAGGTTCTGTATGTCCTTTTGATATGAGCATATGGAGATTTCCAGAGGGCTCCAGCTTGCTTTGTTAATACCTGCTGTTTAACTTCCTTATCCTTTTCTTCTGAATGTCCTTCCTTTACCTAGCATGCAAGGAGACAAATTGATAAGTGCAGCTGATAGGGATGCTTATCTAATGGGGCAGGGAAAGACTAACCACATCCACCCTACCCTTGCTTTCTGGGACCTGCTTCAGAACAGCTTTTCTGTGATTCCCAGCCAGGTGCTTTAGACTTATGGCAAAGTTTTGGGGCTCATTGGCCCTACTTTAAGTCAACCCTGTTCAGGCATTTACCCATTACTGGAGGGATAATTTTGTTTGTCTTACTGGAGAAAATAAACTTTTCCTTTTCTTCTCTATGCACACTAATTCGTGTGTATGTATGACCAGGTCCCATTAGAAAGTAGAAGTCTAGAGGATCCAAGGTAGACCTAGATTGTGCACTGCCAATACAAAAGAAACTGCAAGTGCTGTTGTTTTGGGGGTTAGGGGTCTTTGGGTTCACTCTAGGAAAGGTTTTACCAGAGCTCCCCTTTCAGCGGCACATAGGGAGTTTCTCCAAGAGAAGGAGACTCAGTTACATTTAAAGAGTAAGTTTATTATAGAAAGAGATAGAAAGAGGACTCTTGCATAGGCACAGGCTGGCAGGAGAGCTGCCCCTTTTTGGGGGTAATATTTTGTTTTATCCTCTTTTTTCCATAGGGAGGGGCCCAACCTTGCTAGCAGTCAGTTGTTGATTTAAATGTCTATGCAGAACTTGAAACTTGAACAGACCAGAGATTCCCTAATGAGCTTCAACCCTTTGCCCTTATCGGTTACCTTTTGTGTCTAGAGCTTTAGATACAGCCCCCAACAGTCTGTTACCTGCTGGAACCTTCCCTCTGGCTTCAGTGCCTGAGGACCTTGATTTTAATGGCTGTGTTAATTGCTTTGCTAGCTCCTTCTACCCATCCCCCTAGTGTGAATCAATCTTGATGCCTCCCCCTGCATTCCTTCCTCCATCACAAATGTGTTAATTGTTACCAATTCTGAAGGAAAGCGGTGTGGCTGACTCTGCAGTTCTGGGCCCGGGTTTTTAGGGGGCCGGCCTTTGGTTCCTTGGTTCCACCTGGGCTTGGCCTTTTCCCCGGCCTTTTTTGGCCTTGGGCTTGTTCGTTCTTGCTTTTGGTTTTTTTTCTTTTCGTTTCTTTTTTTTTCCCCCTTCCCCGTTACTTTTCTTCTTGCCGTTGTCCGGGCCATTGGGCCTTGGCCCGGCCCCTTTTAGGTTTTTTTTAGGCCTTGTTTTGAATAATATCTAGCTTCCTGGTGAACAGACTCACGACGTCCGTCCCTCCTTTCCACCTTTTCCTTTCAGATTCTATAGGGTCTTTGTCTGGTTTCCTCCAATTACTTGTACAAAAACCTTGAAAAAAGGCCAGTAACTGGTTTCAAACATAAAAGAGGTGGGCAGAAGCCACCCTCCCTGATTGAGAGTGATGGAGGATAAAAGTAGAAAAAGTGGAAGCGAGGCCACAGACCAGAATCCTGGCTCACAAATTGCAGAGAGCTAAAGGTGGGAGTAGCAGGGATTAGCATACACTGTAACTCAGCTGCAGGAACTAAGGATCCTTAAGCACCAGTGCCTAGACCACAAAGCATAAGGTCCAGGCAGACTATCAGATTGTGTAGGTGGTAGGTAGAGCTCAGACCAGAGGTAAAAAGATGGAGATTGAGGGCCTTTGTAGAAATAGGGCCCCTTTCAAATGCTGCAGTTTATTCTAAGGCAACAGCAAACAAGCACTCCACAAAGGATGGAGCCCCTCCCAAATAGGAGAATAAACCAGTGCAGTCTCAGTAGTGACTGGGAGCAGCAGCCTCCTTCCTGGCCGGGACCTGCACCATGCTGGGACTTCTCTGTGCTGAACTCCCTCTGTGCACAGGCCACTCTCCTCAAGGCCACCCACTTGTAACCATGCAGGCCTGTACTTAGCAAACCTGTACTTTTCCTTCTTTCTTTTTTGTAATAAACCTGCTCTTTTGGATATAACTGACATCTCTGTGTTGTGGAGAAACTAAACTAGGAACTCACCAGTGCTGTTGAAAGGGGAACTCTGGTGAATCTTACAGGGCAGGGAGAGCGGGGCACCATTGAACCCCCAAACCTGCCTGCTCTAAATAGGTTCTGCCATCCACCACATCAAGGCAAAACATGTAAGACTTTAATGAAAAGGGACTTGTATACAACACAGAAGTATACAACAAAAAAATATAAATTTTAAATCAAACACCTGAAGTTACCTATCTCCTGGTGGGCAAAAGTCCTCCCAAAAGGGATTGGTCCAAAGCAAGGCCTGAAAGCCCACCACAAGACTAAAGCACCTTTTGTCCAGGACCCATAGAAACGGGTCAAAAATGGCCAGACAAGTCCAGGAGGAAAAGAGCACAATCAAAATCAGTATAAACACTGCTATAGCCATAGGCATCTTTCCCACAGGTCTCTCATCCACATCTGTTTTAATCAGTCCAGGGCCTAGAAACAAGCTTGGTTTCTTCATCACATGCTTGCTGCTCTATGTGGCTTCCTCAGGTCTGTTGGCTCTCCTTCCTGCTTCCTTCCCCTTCAGATTCCTTCTCTTCTTTTCTCTGCTTAGCTCCACCCTCCTTCTGGGTGGGGGCAGGGAGCCTGGAACTTCCCCTCTTGTTACAAAACCTTTCCCAGAGTGGGCCCAAGGACCCCCCTCGGGGTTGATGGAGTTGATCAGTGGGCCAGTCTAATGGGGACTTGGGGCCATGGGTTTTATAGCTTGGATCTCAGGGCCTTTAAGCACCCGTGGATGCTTTATCTATTCTCACATTAACACCCTCCTCTGACAAGGGAAAGTGCATCCCAGCTGATTAGGTTTCCGATTACTGGAAGCTAACAAACAAATATCAGGTTCCAGAGGTCCTGTAACAAATTACTATGCGAAGTATAATTTACCAATTGACAAGGAATGCCTGCCTCAGTTTCCCTCAGCTAATAAAGGAAATAGTTTGAGGAAAAGGAGAGTGGTTTAATTTGTCAAGGAATGCCTGCCTCAGTTTCCCTCAGCTAATAAAGGAAATAGTTTGAGGAAAAGGAGAGTGGTTTAATTTGTCAAGGAATGCCTGCCTCAGTTTCCCTCAGCTAATAAAGGAAATAGTTTGAGGAAAAGGAGAGTGGTTTAATTTGTCGACTAATGAGGAGAGCAGCAGAATCATGTTTGAAAGACCACCGTCCTGCTCTTGGGCAGAGTGCCGGGGTATTTCTACAAAGCGGAGAAAAAACGGGGAGAGATGGGCAAGTGTCTGCTAAGGGGAGATAGGGAAGGTAAGCACCAACTTGCTTTTTTCATCAGCTGCTGTTTAATTACCTTTTCCTTGGCATGCAAGAAGACAAACCTGCAAACAAGGTAGGGAGGGGTATTGTAAGGGGTAGGGGTAACAAACTTGTTAATGCTTATCAGAGAGACCATAATCATCATATGAGACCATAATTATCATAATCACCAAGTAAAGAGGGAGGAAAGTTGTCAGACCTAGCCTTGAGACAACATACATGGAAACAGGAACTAGTAGGCTGACCCACACTTTGCAGAGAAGAATTGGGGAGTATGCCCAAGTCTGAGGGAGGAGGGGGAATGGAAGATTTCCCCAGAGACAGAACAGAACATAGAAAAGAATTTATTGACTTGCATTGCTGAAGGGGGGCATGTGTGTGTGTGTGTGGGGGGGGGGGGGTTTAGATGGGAGGGGCCATCTGTCCAGAGAGAGACCTAAGGCTGGATTTCTGCTCCAGGCACCACTGGTTGGTTGGGTGACTGGTCTTGTGTTTGTCCTGACACAGGATCTGGCTCATCACTTTACTGGCCCAGTTCCCATGGCAGCCCCATTCACCCCCTTATCCATTTAAGTCTCCCAAATTGGCCTGATGGACTAGGAGTGAAAGCCTATTTTTTAAATGCCACTATGACACCACATCATAAAGCAACGTCTTTGTGGGGCAAGGGTAATGCCCTCTGCACATTCCACAAAACCAGATACCCCACCACAGATGGCTGGCTTCTGGACGCCACAGGTGCACAGGTGGTCAGTCAACTCGATGGTAAGGTGTCATGGGATTCAGGCAATTTGATAATAAAGACTAATCCCCCTTATTTCAAATAAAATATCTAAACCTATGCTCCTTGTTCCTTAGTGGCTACCCATTTGGGACCCTGCTCTGTTCAGAGAACTTTCCTGTCCTTATCTGACAATAAATTTCTTCCTCTTTGTCTAACTCTTGGTCTTCACAATGAATTCCTTCCTCACTGAGATTAAGGATCAAGCCCCTTGGAGTCCAGAAAGTGGGTTTCCCTTTTTTTCTTAAATAGTTTGCTTTAGCCTTTTCTTGATTTCTATACAATTACAACTTTATTCCTGGCTTTCTCATTTGTTCCCATATAACCTCAGATATAGAGGGACTTGTGAGCCAGAGACTCAAGCCAGGATAGCAAGGTGCGGGAGGAGTAACTGCGATGGCATCAAAACTTTTAGTGAACATCCGGGAGGAGGTGACCTGCCCCATCTGCCTGGAGCTCCTGACTGAACCCCTGAGCCTGGACTGTGGCCACAGCTTCTGCCAAGCCTGCATCACTGCAAACAACAAGGAGTCTGTGGCAAACCAGGATGAGCACAGCAGCTGCCCTGTCTGCAGAATCAGTTACGAACCTGGGCACCTGCGGCTTAATCGGCAACTGGCCAACATAGCGGAGCAGCTCAGAGGGGTCAAGTTGAGCCCAGAGGAGGAGCAGAAGAGAGATCTTTGTGAGCGCCATGGAGAGAAACTCCTGCTCTTCTGTAAGCAGGATGGGAAGGTCATTTGCTGGCTTTGTGAGCGGTCTCAGGAGCACCGAGGTCACCCGACATTCCTCATTGAGGAGATTGCCCAGGAGTACCAGGTAGGAGAGCAGGATGTGGTTAAAACAGCAGAATATAGTATTTGATGGGTAGTCTCCACTTAGTTGCCTTATCATGATAGCTCAGAAGCCTGCAATCTCTTTTCTTATTGTGTTGATACAGGGGAAAATTTCCCCACCTCTCTAAGTTCTAGGACTGAATGAGCAAGAAGATTAACATCTGACAGATTAGAAGGAGAAAAAGACTACAGTTAATAGCATAGTCATGGACCATTTAAATAACTAGATACTGAATTCAAATGGGATAGAGCCAGTATTTGTAGCCTCTGTTGAGGATAGGATGGGAGCCTGGGGTGTCAAGAAGGGAGGAGGAGTCTCAGGGACTAGAAGGGTAGATTTCATATGATAGAACTTTGCTTTTAGATATTTGCCTTGCCTTGAGACGGGGTTTTTTTTTTTTCTGTATA